AGCGTCCATGTCTGAGTTGAATCCATTTCCATAACCAACAGGGCTCAAGGAAGCCAACAGATAATCTTTTTGATCCCCTCTACCCTCCCCTGACCTCCCGAGTGCTCCCCATTTGCAATGAGGCCAAACAGGACCAGCCTTCAGCTTCATCCAGAGCGAGCCTCAGACTCACAGCTGGGATTTGTGGTTGGTCTTCCCACCCAGTCCCCCCTCAACTCTGCCAAAAGGGCTCTGTTTCCTCACACCCCCAGCTCAGCTGACAAATCGAACCTCTGTGAGAGAACCAGCTCACACCCCGTAAAGCCATCGTGTGTTTGCTTTGTGGCTGCTCTTAGCTCAGCTGTCCACCCTGCCAGAAACAGATGCCCAGATTTCCATGGGCTGACACCTCTCTCTTTACTTCTTTAATTCCCAGGCAGCAAAGCGCCAGGAGGAACAAGAAGGAACTTGCCCTCAGCTGAGCAAAGGAAATCCGAAAGTCTGCAGCTTCTGCCACCCAAACCTGCAGGGACAAGCTGCTGGGCTTCCAGCAAGATGAAGCTGCTTCTGGGAGCAGAGGAGCTGCTGCCAGCTCTCAGTTCCTAAACTTGATTCCTCCGCTCCTGGGCTGGCCCCACAATTCTGGGGAAAGTTGAATTAAACCTTTTTTAAAGCATGTCACCGTTTAGAAATGCTGCTGAACAGCGTCTGCAAGGCTGTCAATAGGTGTACGTGTAAGAAGGGAAGCAGACGGCAGGGAGATAGGCGCTTACACCACTCGTTTGCTCTGGCAGCTGTCAACGTTCAACTGATAAAATTGCTGCTGTTGCACCATATCAACCCACTAAACTTTTCCCCACTGAGCACATCCCTTGTGCTCAGCCAGCACAAGAGCCTAGGAAACAGCAAATTGTCTCTTCACATAAGCAAGAGAAAAATAAAATATAACAAAAAAGGACCTCTCCTTGATTCCATCTAAATCTTACTTCCCACTAAGGCTGGAAGTAACCACAGAATTATCCGGAAACTGGAACCTCCAAGTTCCCAGCCCCAGCTTTGATGGGAGCTTACGCAGGACCAGGTGCTTCACCTCTTCTGCTGAGAGTTTTCCATCCAAGGCAGGGGGATAATTAGCTGTGACTTGCTACACAGCAGTGGCGTGAGACTTAATTGTCAGAACGCTTTGAAGGTATGGCATCTAATTAATATCTGCAGTGATTATTACGAACAATGGCATAGCTCACAGCTGATGATACAGCTCAGCTCATGGGTATTTTTTCATTCTCAAAAGTGCTGTGCAAACACACAGCCGCTCTTCCACATCAGAAATCTCCCCGGCGGTGGGCGGTTATCAAGCTCATTTCGTGGATGGAAAAACTGAGGCAAGGTCTGATGGAGCCTAGCAAGGATCACAAACCACAGAGCATGGGAACCTCACCAGGCACTCGCCTGGGAACTCCTCAGCTGCTGCCAGGACGGAATAGGGCAGCAACTCCAGTTCCACAGTCCCCTCACAGTGCCCTGCAGTATTTGGGTCTGTTTGGAAATGCTCAGCTACACATGCCCTGGGCAGGGGTTGAATTTAGCAGGTTCCTGTAAGCAACCATGGGGTGGGAGCTTTAAGGGTAGGAAAGAGCAAGTAGGATCTCTTAACTAACCCTCCAACGCAGAGGAGCACACACACCTAACGAGCACATAATTAGCAAGCCAGGACAGCTACGGGACCTACACATCAGCACAGCCTGATGCCATACGCTCTTGGATGAGTAGTGGGGACACAGCCCTCCCTCTACACACATGGGAGTTAGCAGTGACCAGCACCAGGTTGGCCCCATCCTTGGGCAGGGAGGAGATGAGCAAAGCAGTACCTTCAGGTGGAGTACCTTCAGGCCTCTGCGCCTCCCCCGAACCCGGGGACCCTGAGTTCTATGAGGGTAACACTCCCAGGGCTCACACAGACAAGGGACATCTCCACTGCACCAGCTGAGGATGAACAGCCACCAACCATCTCTGCAAAGGGCCCTAAGCAATAGGGATTGGAAGCGTTGGTTTTAACCCTTATCTTTACTTCCCTTCTGTCCTGCCTTCAAGAGACTGGGGAACATGTTTTAGCCACATTGCAAAATGCACAGATTATAAAAACCATAATTCTCCAGAGCCTTACGTAGCACCGCAGTTGAGATCCGCAGGTTCTCTTCTATTCCTGTGTCATGGAGTTGGGTTCCCACCTCCCTCATCTCCTGACAGCTTCCTGGAGAGGAGACGCAGCAAGCTGGAAAGAAAAGAGATTTATTTTTTTCCCCTCCTGTCTGCTAAAGGACTTTTAGATCTTGAGCTCCTCAGTATCTCAAGAACTGCTGAGAGATTTGCGGTGACATTATTTTGAGCTGGTTTTGTGGCAATATCCAAAGGATGAGAAACAAACCACGCTGTTGTGCCAAAGCCAAACAGAGTTAGTTTTGGAGCTCAGCCATTTCTGAGACAGTGGGACATATTGATATTAGCAATTTCATAGTACAGACTTGAGACACAGATAAGAAGTCATCATGTCGTTTCATACACACCGGGCCAGTCTGCAGGTCTGCACACAGCCAGCATATAAAGGCTGGGGGAAAAAAAAGAGTAAAAAAACCCCAACCCTAGAGTTTTTCAACAAGCTGCAGCCCAAAAGAATCCCCAGGCAGATAGTGATCTATCACTCAGTGCATAAGGAACATAAAACAGGCTCTCTTTGAAGGGAGAGGTCATTCCAGATGGGTGCAGGGACCTGTGTGTAACTCTTTGGGTTGTTCCTAGGAACTCTTCATAACATTTTTCACAGCCAAGCGTGTAAACCCCGAAGGAAAACGAAAGGCAAGAAACCCCATTCACCCCGTTAAACTCCAGCACTGAAGAGATAAGTCCAGGTCTATTTTATAAATATTTCAAAGTTCAAAGAAAACAGCAACTAATATTGACACAGCCCAACAGAAACATCCCCAGGGGCAGGGCTGTGGTTGCACGATATTCCAGTGCCACCAGCAGCACAAGGCAGGGAAGAGCAGTAAAGCAGAAGGAAAGGGGAGGCTGAGCTGCAGAACAATGTCAGGTGAGCCAACACCCCTCCAGTCAGCAGAGCTTCCCCACGGATTAGAATGAACCTCAGATGAGGTGCTTAATTACCAAAGCGATAAATGTTATATATATAAATCAGCTGCAAGAGAGATCAGGCACTTGGGTGAACCCTCAGGAAAAGACGGGACAAATTGGTTCTCCCTTCACTCCCACAGGGATAATAAAATCTGCCCAGACTTAGAAGTCTCCCTTTAAGAAAATTAACAATCACCACAAGGGAAGGACATTTGTTTGGAGCTGAGAGGTCAGAGGAGCTCTCAGGGCTCCTAGTGAGAGTTCTAAATATTTTCTATGTAGAAGAAAACTGTGGAAGCTGCACTTATGTGCAAAGCCTTTCTGTGCCCCTACTGGGGTCTCTTGAAACATGTGGATGTAAACACAGGCTTTTTTCATGTGTCCATCCATGGATCCCAGCAGCTTTTCAGCCACAAGGCTGTTGTCAGCCAGAACACTCACACCCTTTAGTGTTTCATCTAAACTCATTGCTCTATTAAAATAGAAATCAAAGCTCTATTATCTTTTTTTCCCCTCCACTATCACTACATGTGTAAATAATAATGAAGTTCCAGCAAGGACATGAAGTAAAACTCAATCCAAGTTTCTCTCTACCCCTGCACCCAGGCTCACAACAACCCCATGGACACTACAGGCTGAGGGCAGAGTGGCTGGAGCTGCCTGGCAGAAAAGGACCTGGGGGTGTTGGTCAACTGTGGGCTGAACATGAGCCAGCAGTGTGCCCAGGTAGCCAAGGAGGACACCAGCATCCTGGACTGTATCAGGAACAAGTAGGACTCGGGAGGTGATGGTCCCCCTGAACTGGGCACTGGTGAGGCCCCACCTCAAGTTCTGGGTCCAGTTTTGGACCCCTTACCTCAAAAAAGATATTGAGGTGCTGGAGTGGGTCCAGAGAAGGGCAACGGAGCTGGTGAGGGGTCTGGAGCACAAGTCTTGTGAGGAGAGGCTGAGGGAGCTGGGGGTGTTCAGCCTGGAGAAAAGGAGGCTGAGGGGAGACCTTCTCGCTCCTGAAAGGAGGGTGTAGCCAGGGGAGTCGGTCTCTTCTCCCAAGGGACAGGCCACAGGACAAGAGGAAATGGCCTCAAGTTGCACCAGGAGAAGTTCAGATTGAATAACAGGAAAAATTTTTACACAAAAAGGGTTATTAAGCCTTGGAATGGGCTGCCCAGGGAAGTGGTTGAGGCACCATACCTGAAGGTATTTAAAAGCCAGGTTGACATAGTACTTGTTTTAGACATGTTTTAGTGATGGTTTTTATCAGAGTTAGGTTGATGGTTGGACTAGATGGTATTAAAGGTCCCTTCCAACCCAGAAAACTCTATGATTCTATGATTCACCCAGGCAGGAGAACCACGAGACACGAGCACCTCCTGGAGGAGACGCTCTGCTCCTCTCTCTCTGGACAGGATGCTCACGGCACACACCTGGGCTTCCCTCTCACCTCCCAGCCAGGAACCAGCGGAACCTAGAAATTGGTAAGAGGCAGCAGTTATCTATTTCTGTGTGTCAGAGTCTGCTCAAGGGAGAGTTTTAATCTGTTTAGACAACGCTGTGGAAGTGTGACTCCTACTTATTATCAAAGCGAACAAAACCACTATGTATAAACTAAAGCTACTAGGGATATTAAACCAAGAAAAATGAAGTTAAAGTAAGACATTTTGCTCAAGTTTTCTTTCTTCCTGGATTTTACAGAAAATAAAAATAATTAATCCCAACTCCAACCCAGTGAAAGTTGTAATACTTTAACCACAGCCAAACACAGCTTCAGGCTTATAAGAGTCTCATCTGAACCTGTAAATACAACAAAATCATAGGCTCTTGTAGTTACCTGGGACTGCTTAGGTGTTGAAAACAACATGAACAAAAAGAAGATTAAAAAACCCAACGCAGCATTTACAACAAAATTAAGTTTTTATTTCAAGGATATTATTACAAAAAGCACTCGCTCTGTTACACACTTAAATACACGCCTTACCATAGAAATCCCTCGCTCCACAGAAAGATCCCACCACTGACAACCTCCAGCTGCAAAGGTGCATTGATCACAGTTTGACCAGTATCACAGACTGGTTTGGGTGGGAAGGGACCTTTAAAGACCACCTAGTCCAAACCCCCACCATCAGCAGGGACATCTTTAACGAGACCAGGTTGCTCCAAGCCCCATCCAGCCTGACCTGGAACATTTCCAGGGATGAGGCATCTACAACCTTCCTGGGCACCCTGTTGACCCTCTGCAATGATCCAACTCACGTGCTCACAGCTGATAGACCAAATTATATGTTTTCCAGGAGTATTTTAGACAGAAAACATCATGAGAAGCAGAACAAACAGAGCATCACGTGGGTAAACACAATGTTCCCTTTCCTTGAAAAGCTCCAGGAACAGAAAAAGGCATGTTCTGTCTTCTTCCAGGGAATATTCTTGGTACACATAGAAAGTACTCATGTAGCAACTCTGATTTCAAGAGCACTTTCTAGGAACAGCACCCTCAGAACCCACACAATAGGTTAAAACCCCCACTGCATTTTGCAAATGGAAAGAAAAAAAGTAAGTCACACAGACATTCGCCTCAAACTCCTGAGGAATGGGGAGGGTCAAGGTCTGGGCCCAACAGGGATTTAGGAATTCCTAGATCTGCCTCTGTAAACAGCAGGCACCTCCTTGCCTATGGATTCATGAACATGAGAGACCATTTATCAGTCACTGTTCCTGTTCTGAAGGCTCCCCACCCTCGCGATTGGAGCCATTTGATTTAAAAAGCAAGAGACTTCTGTCCCAGCTGGTGCTGCCAAAGCAGCACACCAGCTCCATGGCACAGTCCTTCGTTAGGATCTGGGTTATCCTCTCTGCCATATCCCCCTTGATTGTGAGAGATCGGAAGTGATCGAAGTCATTCCTGCCCAGCTTCCGCAGGCGGCGCGCGGCCGCCCTGTAGCACTTCCACGGCTGGGGCTCGATCAGCAGGTACCCACACAGCGAGGAAAGAAAGGACAGGAACTCCCTCAGGCCACTATCCCCATGATTCAGGTGGATCCACATGGTCACAGACATGCAAAAAATGATGTCAAAGGCGGAGCGGCCGAAACGGCCCAGGTAGGAGCTCAGGAATGGCTCCCTGGCACCGGAGTCCATGATGTCCAGGCTGGCAAAGGATATGGAGGCAGGAAAGGGGCTGCACCGCTGAGCCCTCTCAATCAACACCGGATCGATGTCACAGCACAGAAGATTCAGCTCCTTTCCAGCTGCAGGCTGGTCCAGGCTGCCTTCACTCTCCTGAAGGCCAAGGAGATGGCTGTACAGAGCCACACTTAGCTCCTGCAGAAAGGAAAACAAGAGGGGTTCACAGAACCTGTGCTGCTTCCTTAACACATCACCGAGCGTATAGGATCCCACTCTCAACAGCAAAGAACAAGCACCAACTCGGAGCTCTCTCTGGATGGGGTTCAGAACAATAACCTCACCAACAAACTTCCCTTCTGCAGCAAAAAGCATCACGGTAGCCCTGACTACCGGAAAGTCAACCAGAGATTGGAACTAAACCTGCCTCAACCCTACACTTGGGGTTTTGCTCCAAAAACTGTGGGAAAGATGAGTTCTGGTAAGAGGAATCTTGCTGGATATCCCCATCCAGCAAGGATGTGGGGATGAAGGCAAGGGGGTGAAGGCTTCACTGGCTTCCCTCGATGAGCCTCGGGGTTCCCTACTGGCACTTAGAGCTATTTATAATGCTTAAATTAGAGTAATACATTTCTGCTGCTGCTGCTAAAGCAAAAGACATTTCCTGACCGTTGGACTGTAGCATAAGACTGCTGACCTGAGAGCCTTCCTTGGCATTCTCTTCCACAGAGTGCGCCACTAAGTGGAAAGTGTATTAATTTTTCATTAAAGGAGATCCAGTGAAGCTCCTGAATGACTCAGGCTGCGAGTGCAGAGCCCACACGGGCAGGCAGTGTCCTCTAGTGGTGAACGTCTCCGCAGCTCAAGAGAACCAGGAGAACGTTTTTACCTGACCTGTTTTACAAGTTCAGCTGAAACAGGATCTAGAATTGTCCTTCAGATAATGCCTCAGGTGGCCTTTCAAGCCTTGGGGGGCAGGGAAGCCATGGAAACAGCAGTACTCTCCTTCGTCCCCAGCCAGGATGCAATTTCATTCTGAATGAATAATTATCTCTAAGTTAATACATTGATAAAGTTTCTATCTCAAAAAAAACCAACCAACCTATCTTTAAACGTTGCATCAGCATGCATCAGAGATGCACAGACACTTCTGAATTACAACCCAGCAACACTAACGATGAGGAAGAGCCAGGAGAAAAAAGCAGAACTGGGTAAAGAAAAAGAATGAACTTTCAGAAGGGGAAATTCTACAAGATCCACCAGCTCTTATCACAAGATCTTCAAGAGCCTGTGACTACGCTTTTAGTTTCAAGTTCAGTCTTACAGATAAATGATGTGATACTACATGATACACAACAGATTATGATTTCTAGCTGCAGGACTGCCCTGTTCCGCTGCTCTTCAGGCAGTGCAATTACAGCTCTCAGGTGCTCGGGACACACAGCAACCCAGGGCCTCAGCAGGAAAGGGGACAGACCCATCAATATAGCCTCTTAAATCAACCCCCCGCAACACAACTAGCTCCCCCCACCCCTGCCTTCACCCCAACCTTCACCCTCCTCTCACAGGAAACCGGAGGGGGCTTCCCACACACCGATGATCTCCTGCCCCTGACCAGTCTCATGTTTTCCCAGCACTAAGTCCTGCTTTCCCAGTGAGCTTTTTACACAGGCTCATCCCTGTCTCAGGCTGCTGCCCCTGCCCTGCCTGTTCCATTCCTCCCCAGTTTCCCCAGTTCAGTGCTCCCCCCAGCATCCCCCACTGCCCCTCAAGACTCCAGGCCACTGCCCCCACCCACTCTGCCCCATTCCTCCCCAACATCCCATGGGTGCACCTCTGTTTCCCCTCCAACACCCCAGATCACTGACCGGCCCAACCTCCCCACTCTGCCCCAGCACTCCACACCAGCACCTCCCCATCTTTCCAGTCCCCCACACTGTGCCCCAACACTCCAGGCTCCTGCCTCCCCGAGTCTCCTCGGTTTCCCTGACTACCTTGGGTGACTGCCTTTCCCAGTCTTTCCAGTTTGCCTCACTGCTCCCCTCCCAGGTCCTTGTCCCACTCCTCCCATCCTCTCAGTGTGCCTTACCGCTCTAGACCAGTGCCTCATCCCAGTCTTTTCCATATGCTGGACCTTCCTCCAGCATCCCAGACCGGAGCCTCCCCCCAGTCTTCCTCATAGCCCCCCGGGACTCCAGACCGGTGCCTCCCCTCAGCCCCCCAAAGACTCCAAACCAGTGCCTCCCCTCAAGCCTTTCCAGCCTCCCCCACAACCCAGACCACCACCCCAGCGTTTCCCCTCACCCCAGGAACCCCCAAACCCGCTGCCTCGCGGCCTACACCACCCCCCACCCCCGCTCTCCGCCGAGACGCCCTCTTACCCCCGAGTTGCAGCCCACATCGAGCCCCAGCAGCGGGCGGGCCGCCGCGGGGAACAAGCTCCTCAAGAGCCCGCCAGGCAGGAGGCTGACTCGCCCCTCGGGCGGGTGGAAGCGGGAATAATTAGGGAAGTTGCCGTAGGGAGCAGCGCCAGGCTCCAAGGCGGGAAACCCCTCGCTCATGGGCGCCGCCATTTTAGCACTGCGCGGGCCGGGCGGGAACAGAACCGTTTCGGGGGAGAAAGGTTCCGGGACAGAAAGGTTCCGGGGGC